AAGGAAACAGCCAATAATGGAAACGCCGCAGCTGGGAGCCGCAGATTGCGACCCGACAATTGCGGAGTTGGGGGCAGGGCACAGCATTGGTTGGGGAATCCCCATAGGGGGGGTCGTATTTGGCCGCCAGGAGAGGGGGGGTCGTAATGAGTGCGGTAGCCAGTATCGAGCAGCGCAAAGGTGTCAGTGTGCTGAATCCTGTGTAGCGGAACTTGCTTCGTAGAGAACTCGGATATGTAAAAAATGAGTACAAAACTTTCATCCATCAAACTAATCCGAAATAATTGGAATTATTAATAAGTCGACAACATCTCGTAAGTGATTAAACACTACAACTCATACTCTCGCTTTGGCTGGCGATATGGGGGGTGTCGCGCGATCAAACGCCTTTGCGCGAGCCACCTGTTTTTTTTTTCTCGACCGCGCAGACGAACAGGACTACCCAATATGCCGTTCGTACCAGACGTTTTCCAGCACTTGTCCCTTTATCGATTCACACATATCGGAGCCACAGATCTTCATTTTGATGAATTCATCTGCACGTATGTATTCATAAGCTAAATATCAAGTTCCATAGTGTAGTTCGCTGCGGACGGTTGGGCGTGTCAGGCGGGATGAGTTTGGCGCGGTGCCAAACCCGTTCTCCACCAGTTGTTAAAGCGAGCAAGTGATATGACTGTATCATATCGTTCGTATTACTCGTTTTCTACCACTTTTTGTCGCATGCGCGCTTCAACAAGAAGGCAGAGAATGGCTTTGACGGTCTGCCCCCCCCCCTCCCCATACCGCATGACACGCCCAACCGTCCGCAGCGAACTAGAGTGTACTTCATAAGTGAAGCGATAAGAGCAACGGGACTGCATGGACAATTGTGGGCAGGTGGTTGCGTTGGGTCGGCATATTGCACGTTGTTTAGGCACTACAAGGAGGATGCCCCTGCTTGGAAAAGGCGCTCGAAGCCACAAAGGGGCTCAATATTCTTTTTTGCTAGACGTACCAAACCTGTACGCCTTGTCACTTTATCGTGCCACTCGCCTTTGAAGGGAAAGATAGGTGGGCGCTCTTATCACTATCTTGTCTTTGACCAAGTGACATCTATTTCCTTGCCTATGTAAGACAAAAGTGTGCCGCGGTTCATGTGGGCGGGATTCTGGCTATCACTCTACCTACCTTCCATACGCATATATGTAGGCTTGCGTATGTCAAGGAGGAAGGAGCAGATGGTTGTGAATCCCCCGCCCATACCAGACTGAAGAAGAAATTGTGTCTTTAAAGTCTCAAATTAGTGGAGACTGATACAGATTTAATAGTGAAGCATTCATTTAGGTGGCTCATGTCTGCATATCATATATTACGTTTAGCCCTGAAGAAGAGCTTACACTACTCAGTTTTCCGGAACGAATGACGAAAATTCTGCAAACGGTTGGAAAACCAATTGTGGAGGTAGGATTATATGGTACGACTTCTTAGACCAACTACAGTACCCGAACTCGTTTAGGCGTCATTGTCAACCTTCATCTGCATGTTGCCGTTGTTCTACGTCCGTACCTACATCATTGTAGCATTCGCCAAGACTGTCACCCTCGTGGCAACATTCGGACTCCTCCACGGGATCGTGATTATCCCCGTTTGTTTGTCGTTTTTCCCTGTAAGGACAAAGTCACCTGCTGCAAGGACATCAGGTCATCTGGAGGAACAGAAAGGAGTCTATGCTCGCGTGAGCTGTGACAACTTGCCATTGGTGTGCGAGCAGTACAGTAGCGCGGCTGCGCCAAAAAGAGTGTTAGATGCAGGGTTGTCCTGAAGGGTAGGACTACCCTTCGGGATAGGTTTTTAGGAAATAATGGGTGCTGCTCAGTCCTTTCTGTAACTAAGTAGCCTCCGTTAGTTCCTCTCTCAGGGTGCGTATTGTCTAATTCCTTTCAACCATTCCATTCATTCTTAGATATAATCCAGAAATTCTTACGAGTAGTTCTGCAGGCCTGTTTGAGCCAACAGATTTTCCATCTAACAGGCAACGTCCGCCATCTCTTGCAGCCATTACATATATTCGGGTGGATTCGTTTTAAGGGTGCAGTCCAGGTTAATCGTGTGGGCGGAGAGCTTCACCCATTGTGCGGGCTTCCTTGGGACGTCGCTCCTCTTTGCAGCACCAAAGGGTGAGGTGTGTTAATGAAGCCGGTGATCATCTTCACCTATTCTGTCAGCGTGGACTGTTTCTTTTGAGTGGATCCTGAAGATTCCCTAGCAGAGGACCTACCCAACCAGGGCACGCCTTCCTGCCCTGATTGGGGTAGGACCTCTGATACGGGATCTTATTAGGGATTCCCAGCGAGCGGGTTTGCATTTCGGCCATCGTGGGAGGGCGGTCGTACCTGCCTCTGAGAAAAATGGATTCGGGGTGGAATTTTCTTGCTTCTTTCTTCTTTCTTTTTTTTGGTCAGTTTTCCTGTTTCACGTGCGTCCTAATCCTCCTCACCCCCGCTCGACGGCAGTTTTTGGCGAAAAACTAGGGAATTCCGAACAATATATGTAGGAGAGGAGAAAGGAGATGCGATAGAGGATGGGGAAGAGAGGGTCGTACCACAGCAGGATCGTATTTTGCAAAATTTTTCCTTAACGGCGCCTATGTACCAATAATAAGCGCCCTGTTCCGAAAGTTTGGAGTTTTACTTGAAAATTTATCAGAAAATGCCATTTTCATGATCCCTCAGTTTTTTCTTCTTTGGTCGACATAGTCGGTCCAGTCTAGCCACATCGAACCTAATTACCAGAGCGTCTCAATTAGTCCCTCGTAATTGGCCTAGCTTCCAGACTCCAAATAGTTCGACTTTGGGTCTTGGGGTGCCACGGGTTATGGTATTTTTATTTCTAAATCCATTTCATTGAAAGGGTGACAGCAAAATTCAAATTGAAGCCTAAATGTTGAGAACCCTGTGATGAGAAGTCCAGTTTCTTCGATAGGCTGCCTCTACCTTAAAAAATTATTGCTGTTTCAAAACTAGTATTTTTGTTGCTAAAGAAAGAAGTTGCAGTGATCACAACAAAAAGGCGTATTCTGTCGTCAGGGAACCTTTTACAAAATATGACCTCTAAGAGTGTTTCAAGCTGGGAGATGTCTTCCCCGATCAACTATCAGGCCAAATACGATTACAGGGAAGCACTTCCTCCCACT